TTGCCGGGTTTCTTCGTCCATCGAGTGACGATTGCGGCGGTAGTCCTTTGTGCGTTCAGCATAGTCGCGGACGCCTTGCTCAATGCGGTCGTACCCGTCCAGATCGATCGATTCATAAATGCGGCGAATTTCGGCGACAGGGTCAGCGACAAGATCTTCGTAACGCGTCTGGCAGACTTTTTCCTTGGGAACGGAAGCCAAACCGCGATCGTAAGCGGCGTACATTCGCTCGAAGCAGTCGAAGACGTATTCGCGATAGTCGTCTTTGGAAACTTGAAACGCTTGCACTTCGTCCATCGTGTTCCAGAGGCGGACCGTCGAGGCGAACACGTCGTACGGATCGCGGGCAATGTGGATGAATTTGGCGTCGGGGTACCGCTCGGCCAGTTCGCCGATGCGGCCGGTATGGGTCGGCGATTTAAGGATCAGCGGCTTGTTTTCCTGAACGGTCACCATCCGCATGAACAAGTCGAGCGTGTCGAGCCATTCTTCTTTTCGTTCTGGCGGAACGGCGGCCAGGTCCAGAAAATCAGGCTCAGGCTTGGCATTGTTCGGAAACGCCATCCGAACGTAAGGGGACATTTCGCCCAGGCTGAGCACGCCGAACTCGTCTTCCTGCGGCTTCGACCAGCCCATGGTCATGTTGTCCATGGGGCGGCTTTTGGGCATGAAGAAGTTGAAGTAGTTCTCGATGATGCGCCCGTAAATCAGAAACATGTTCGGGGCGAAGCACTGAATGGTGTTGGGAGTCGCGTAGCGGTCGTCGGACTGCATCAATTCGTGCAGCAACGTGGTACCGCTCCGCCAATGGCCGAGAATGAAGATCGGCTTCTCGATTTTGGCATCCCGAATTTTGCTGCCAAAAAACAAGTTCTGCAGTTGGTGGCAGATACTGTTGTTGATCGCGAACAGCGAAACGGTACCGGCCAAGCCGAGCTTGAGCGGGTTCACTTTGAAACCGTTCTTTGCTAGCAGACTGCCCCAAGTGCCGACACGCATGCCATGCCATACGCGGGGCGTGTACCAAGGGTAATTGTTGGCTTTGGGCTTATTCGGTTTGGCAGCGTCCGCCGATGGGGTGCTTTGATCGGCGGCAGAGGATGTGGCGTTCAAGTCGCTCGACTTCCTGAAATGGCATTCTTTTACGGGGTTTTGGAACCGAAGTTTACGCCAAAAACAGAGAAACGACTAGCGAAGGTTGGCATAGTCCCGCAGTACGGTAGGTCAAAAGTGGGGTAGCCCAGTTTGCTTGCAAGCTGGGGAGGCGAAGCCGAATCGAGGTGCTGGTGTGTGGTTGGACCAATGGCTAAACCTCCGTTCGCTGCGCTCCCCAGGTTGCAAGCAACCATGGGCTACCCGGCGAAGATGTAGGAAAGTCTCCGCCTCGGTGAACTCTGTGTGCTCTGTGGCTAAATCCTTTTTCTGACGGTAAGTCTTCCAGTCACCCAGCGAAGCAGGCAGCTTGTAAGCGGCAGTATTGTTTAATGGACCCTATGCGGAAAGCGATTGGCCGAGGAACGAGTGAGAACCCGACGAATCGGTTCGAGACGTTAAGCGTTTCCGACGATCTGGAGCATTTGGATCCAACCGATGCCAACGAGTTCGCCGCGCGGAAGGTGCCGACGCAGTATTTCGCCGATGCGACACAGTCGTTGGTGACTAAGAACGACAGCCCCGACATTCCGTTCACGTACAGCTTGAACCCTTACCGAGGGTGTGCTCATGGGTGTAGCTACTGCTATGCCCGGCCGTATCACGAGTACTTGGGGTTCAGCAGCGGGCTCGATTTCGAGACCAAGATTATGGTCAAGCGAGATGCCCCACAACTGTTTCGTGACTTCTTGACACGGAAGTCTTGGAAGTGTGAAGTGATTGCCATGTCTGGCGTCACCGATTGCTACCAGCCGGCCGAAAAGGAATTCGAGGTCACTAAGGGGTGCTTGGAGGTGGCCTTTGAGGCGCGGCAGCCGATTGGAATCATCACGAAGAATGCATTGGTCCTGCGCGATCTTGAACTGCTGCGGGAAATGGCTCGGCATCGGCTGGTTTGCGTGAACTTGAGCATCACATCACTCGATCAAAAGCTGACCAGGCTGATGGAACCGCGCACGTCGAGCCCTGCGGCAAGACTGAGGGCGATCGAGCAGCTGACCGCGGCCGGCATTCCGGTGAACGTGATGGTGGCGCCCATTATCCCAGGGCTGAACGACACCGAAGTTCCGAATATCTTGGAGGCAGCCGCGGCGAAGGGGGCCCTGAGTGCCGGATACACGCTGCTGCGATTGCCACACGCCGTGAAAGAGATCTTTGTTACTTGGCTAGAGGAAAACTTGCCGGAACATGCCGAGCGGGTTCGTTCGCGGGTCGAAGCTTGCCGAGGTGGGCAACTGACCGACTCGCGATGGGGAAGCCGCATGCGGGGCGAAGGCATCATCGCTTCGACGATTGCGAAAACATTTTCTATCTTTCGTACGCGTTACGGACTAGAACAAAAGAAGGTCGCGCTAGATACGACACAATTCCGTGGGCCTACCCAAAATGGAAAGTCGCAAATGCGAATGTTTTAGCTGAACCGATCTTGCTTGACTTCCGTAGGAACGAGTAAAGAATGCTAAGGCATTTCCCTTTCTATTAGCTTGCAGAGACCACCTTTCACGATGCGTTCCTTTTTGCAAACGACGATGATCTTTGGCCTCGCCTTGTTGTTGGCGATCGGTCCGGGATGGTGTCGTATGCATTGCCAGGCAGCTTCCGCTTCAGGAATCGCCGGCTCTGGAAACTTCGCGGTGGCTTCCTGCTGTCAGTCAAGCCGTGCCCTGGTATCGAGTACGGCAGCATCGCATACGGCCGAACATCCTTCCCCCGGGATTCCGTCCAGCGAAGATTGCCGCTGCCAGGTTCGGCCGGTGACCAACGAAGTTCGTTTGGTTACCGTCGAGGTTCCATCGTTGTTTCTGATCGCAGATTGGCTGTCGGTCGAACCGCTGGGTCTTGGACTGCTGCCGAAGACGACGCTCACGCAAGCACACGAGACGCCTCCCGTCCCGATTCACGTTCTGAAGTGTGTCTGGCGCTGTTAACGTTCTGCCGTTCTCAGCCCTTTCTATTGCCAACTGAAGCTGACGTGCGCGGAAAGTCCGTGACGCGCCGGCAACTGCTACACACTTAATTACTTCTATTTGAAATTGAAAAGGACGTGATG